ATGTATGCATGTTGATAAAAGTTTGCATACCAGGACTGTATGCATATTTAATTGTAGATACGTGATAGTTTAGTTCTAGGAAATGTATGGGTGTTGCAGGTAGGTAAAGGTGTTATCAATTAGGACATAGGGTGATATAAATTAGGACATTGGTGTTATAAATTAGGACATATGGTGTTATAAATTAGTAGGGTATAAATTAGGACATAGGTATATAAATTAGGACATAGGGTGTTATAAATTAGGACATAGGGTGTTATAAATTAGGACATAGGGTGTTATAAATTAGGACATAGGTGTTATAAATTAGGACATAGGGTGTTATAAATTAGGACATAGGTGTTATAAATTAGGACATAGGGTGTTATAAATTAGGACATAGGGTGTTATAAATTAGGACATAGGGTGTTATAAATTAGGACATAGGGTGTTATAAATTAGGATAAATTAGGACATAGGGTGTTATAAATTAGGGTGTTAGATATAAATTAGGACATAGGGTGTTATAAATTAGGACATAGGGTGTTATAAATTAGGACATAGGGTGTTATAAATTAGGACATAGGGTGTTATAAATTAGGACATAGGGTGTTATAAATTAGGATAGGTGTTATAAATTAGGACATAGGTGTTATAAATTAGGACATAGGTGTTATAAATTAGGACATTAGTGTTATAAATTAGGACATAGGGTGTTATAAATTAGGACATAGGGTGTTATAATTAGGATATGTTATAAATTAGGGGTGTATAAATTAGGATATGTGTTATAAATTAGGACATAGGGTGTTATAAATTAGGGTGTTATAAATTAGGACATTAGGTGTTTATAAATAAATTAGGACATAGGGTGTTATAAATTAGGACATAGGGTGTTATAAATTAGGACCTAGGGTGACCTTGAGACTATACGTTATAAATAAGGACATATATATTTATAAGGACCGCAAGTTGTCGGACTTCTACTTTAATGAAAGCCTTATAAATTAGGACCTGAGACCTGGGACTATATCGACTACTTTGTGTCCCTCTACTCGCGAGTATGTGGCTGAGTGGGCTAGATGGGAGTCACTCCCTCGCGAGTCACCCTTGCTCCAAAATGGGAGAGAACTATAATTCTTACTATGCGAAGAAAGTGTAATCCAAACTATGACATCTTTAACATCTGACCAAAAATTCCAAAGATGACAGGGTCGAAAGCGATAAATACTTTTGAAAAGACTAATTCGAATCTAATTCAGTGGATCCGGATTCAACAAAGGTCCGACATTCTTTACCGATGTGTGACTCAGTCACACTTTACGCACCATCAAACTCAATAGATTCAGTTGAAATCGACATTACATGTATGACTTGTAACTTAGAGGCACCTGTTACAAGAAACGAGATGCGGGCCTATATGGCAGTAACGACAACGCTATATCGCTTACCAGCCTGGTAGGAAAGAGCCATTAATGGCACAATAATGGTTTAATCCGAGACCTATGTAACGTTTAACCTTACTGTGATCAGCACAAAGCACAGCGGTTTCACATTATTCTAGGTTTAGGTTTTGAGTGTCTGGTGAAAAAGTATCTTTTGTCTCGATGGCATTTATTGAAGCGTTGTTTTTATTCTTGATCTGAACTACAAGATTTTCAACCTTTCATTTGTCTGTTTGATTTGATGTTCCAAAAGACCAAGTACTCATAATACGGCTTTCTTTGTATTCTTTTGAAAATACAAAGCAAACCGATTAACATTCAGTTTTGATTTTCCGAACGATCGTATTTACGTGGAAACGTCTTGAATCGAGGGCAATGGCATTTACAGGAACGTCATTTGTTTTATATATTTACATCTATGAATATACCCGGGGAATTGTAGCATAACGGTGGCGTATATTTCAACTTGCATGTTATATGTTAAACATTATATCACAACGCAAGATTAGACTTTTAAGGCACTCGACGATACGGTTTAAGTATTCTATGTTATGTATGTATGTGTGTGTGAGAGAGAGAGAGAGAGAGAGAGAGAGAGAGAGAGAGAGAGAGAGAGAGAGAGAGAGAGAGAGAGAGAGAGAGAGAGAGAGAGAGAGAGAGAGAGAGAGAGAGAGAGAGAGAGAGAGAGAGAGAGAGAGAGAGAGAGAGAGAGAGACGCGCGGTGAGCTACAGGTGAGGCAAGCTTAGCCGGCATGAAGTTTCGCGTTTGAATAAGCCGGTTGATATAGTGAGTGAGTGAGCATCACGGCGGGGCACACCGGAAATGCGGTTGATATAGGACGTTTACAGGACAACTTAAGGACAGGTCTTGAATGTGACCCCGGGTAACGCACTGAACACTCTGGGCTTCAGCAACGACAATGACGACGATTGGACATCGTCTCATTCGAAAGAGAAAGAGAAAGGTGGAGGAGAGAGAGAGGGTGGAAGAGACAGAGGAGGAAGAGAGAGAGGAGGAAGAGGAAGGGTGATAGGACCCTGTTTAAGACAAGATGCAGTATGTCAGACACAGCATAATGGTGAAGTAGCGTCAGCATTACCTCCAACCGAATCATGCCATCAGTAAGTGCGTGAGTTTTTGAAAGCCAGGTGTAATGCTGATCCTAGATGTGTACCAGAGTTATGAAAATAAAAGCGACACACTTCCCGTTCCATATACGTAAGACAGCAGTATTTATAACATAGCAACATATTTTATGAATGACCATCAAATAGTGCTTATACCAATTGAGCATATTACGCCCCACCAGTGAGACCAGTCACAAACACACGCAAAGGCAAGTCAAGTGTTCATCTAAAAACATGCTGGGAACGTATGGTACATCTCACAGTAAAGAAATACATCGGACATCATTTGTGTAACTAATGCGTCTAATTTGGAAATTTCATCCATAAAATGTTTTGAAGGCTTTGCTGAGGCCATGAATATTGCCATCCGGATCAAACAACGTTTGAGCAACAGGGATGATTGATTGTACCTTACAAGTCGTGACGTGAAGACAATAAAGGCTGGAGCTGCTGGTGTATCGCGACGTTTGGAAACTGAAGTCATCCCTCTTGTCCAACAATCTTCTGGATAGTTTTTCGTCTTTCTGAATTTTTGTGCAAAAATCTAAACATGAAACAGCTGAGGCGGTTTCACTGGCCTCTTTTATGTTAAGGTCAAGTACTTTTATAGCTAAAGCATGTGTGACACACTGACCTGACTGATCAGGTGGTTATTTAGGTCTGAAAATGTTCCTTCTTATTCGTGATGTATGTATGGCGTTCTCAAAGAGTGAGTGAGTGGGTTGGGTTTTACGCCGCTTTCAGCAATATTCCAGCAACATCACGGCAGGGGTCACCAGAAATGAACTTCACACATTGTACCCAAGTGTGGAATCGAACCCGGGTCTTCGCATGACGAGCGAAAGCTTTAACCACCAGGCTACCCCACCGCCCCCACTCTAAAAGACGTTGCGCTGCAGATTATTTCGATTCTATAGCGACGTCCATACCTGTGTGAATGGGGCTGAAAGTATTAGTATTTACTACTGCCAGATTTATAGTACTACCCAACTGAGATACCGTGCAGCAGTTCAATATGGATACCTCACTCTGACACACTTAACTGACTCCGAGTCGGATATTCCTTCTGTCATCCCCTTTATGTCGACGGTGTAGTCGTCTACGAGATCGAACCATCGGGTATCCGTTTCCCGGCAGATGTGTTTGGTCAGCGTATTTGTATTTTGATGCCACTGTTATATTGGTTGCCATTGCACATGGTGGTTGTAACGGTTATAATAACTGAATATAAACTAAATCCCATAACCCTGTGTTCATTCATCATTAGAAACATGAGCTATAATGGGAAACATAGGCATAGGCAGATATAATCAGAAATATGAAACATTGTCAAAACCATCACTGGAAGCAGGAATCATTGTCATACACATCACTTGAAACATGAAACATCGATAAAATCATCACTAGAAACAGGAATCATCGACATAAACATCTCTTGAAACAAGAAAAATCGTCAATAATATCACCCGAAAATGGAAATATTGTCAAAAACATCACTGGAAACAGGAATTATTGTCATACACATCACTTGAAACATGAAACATCGTCAAAATCATCGCTAGAAACAGGAATCATCGACATAAACATCTCTTGAAACAAGAAAAATCGTCAATAATATCACCCGAAAATGGAAATATTATCATAAACATCACTGGTACAAGAATCATTGTCATACACATCACTTGAAACAAGAAAAATCCTCAACAATATCACTTGTAACAGGATACACTTCACTTAAAACAAAGATTAATAACATCACGAGGAACAACAGCATGATCAGAAACGGGATATAGCAAAAGAATATGAAAGCCTGATGTTTTAAAACAGGAATTAAACATTTTTAAGTATCATTAGTAGTATCTTTTGTGTCGTCAATGAGACGGAAAGAGAGAACATCGCTGATAATTTGCGTTTTTGCTGTGCTTTGAAGTGTTTATTCTTGTCGTTGAATTTTTTTTGAATTACGAAGTTATATAAATTACAGTAACGCTAAGCATCAGAGCAAAATTTAATTTTGAAAAATATGCCATTTTCAAACTGCATATACTGCGCTATGTAATTCGTGTTTGTTACGCAAACGTAGCACATAATCTATTTAATTCCATTGTCAGAGAGCATATCACTTGTAAAGAAGAGAACTTTGTTGATGTCAACATCTTCATATGAGCTGACATCCCCAAAAATCCCCTTCCTTATGTACATGCCATTCAAAGACTTCATATCGATTGTAGTAAATATTATACCAGTAGTCGGTTTTGAATAAAATGATATAAAGTACACTACACTACTTGCACGGACATATGTTAAATATCATAACGCTGCCTTAAATGACAACTGACTTCAAAGGGAGAAGGACACATTTAGACTCATATTCCAAACCTTCAAGCAAAACGTTCATGTAACATAAATATGCATTCGTTGGAGTTCGCTGTTTAATGCCAAACTGTTATGCTGACACTGGCGTTTCTGTTGCTGGTGGAGCTGGTGCTGTTGCTGGTGCTGCTGCTGGTGCTGTTGCTGTTGGTGCTGCTGGTGTTGTTGCTGGTGGAGCTGGTGCTGTTGCTGATGCTGCTGCTGGTGCTGTTGCTGGTGGAGCTGGTGCTGTTGCTGGTGCTGCTGCTGGTGCTGTTGCTGCTGCTGCTGCTGGTGTTGTTGCTGGTGCTGTTGCTGGTGGTGCTGATGGTGCTGGTTCAGGTGGTGGTGGTTGTGCTGCTGCTGTTGCTGTTGCTGGTGGTGCTGGTGGTGGTGCTGGTGCTGGTGGTGGTGTGCTGGTGCTGGTGGTGCTGGTGGTGGTGCTGCTGCTGGTGGTGTGCTGCTGGTGGTGGTGGTGGTGCTGGTGCTGCTGGTGCTGCTGTGGTGGTGGTGGTGGGTGGTGCTGGTGTTGGCGGTGGTGGTGGTTGTGCTGGTGGTGCTGGTGGTGGTGGTGGTGGTGGTGCCAGTGGGTGCTGCTGGTGGTGCTGGTGGTGGTGGTGGTGGTGGTGGTGGTGGTGGTGGTGGTGGTGCTGGTGGTGGTGGTGGTGGTGGTGGGTGCAGGTGGGTGGTGGTGTGGTGGTGGTGGTGGTGGTGGTGCTGGTGGTGGTGGTGCTGGTGGTGCTGGTGGTGGTGCTGGGTGCTGGTGGTGATGGTGGTGCTGGTGGTGGTGGTGGTGGCTGGTGGTGGTGCTGCTGGTGCTGGTGGTGGTGGTGGTGCTGCTGGTGGTGCTGCAGGTGGTGGTGTGCAGGTGGTGCTGGTGATGCTGCAGGTGGTGGTGCTGGTGGTGCTGGTGGTGGTGCGGGTGGTGCTGGTGGTGCTGGTGGTGGTGCTGGTGGTGGTGGTGGCTGGTGGTGGTGGTGGCTGCTGGTGGTGGCTGGCTGGTGGTGGTGCTGCCGGTGGTGCTGGGGTGCTGCAGATGGTGGTGCTGGTGGTGGTGGTGGTGCTGGTGGTGGTGCTGCTGGTGGTGGTGGTGTGGTGCTGTTGGTGGTTGGTGGTGCTGCTGGTGGTGCTGCTGGTCTGAGTGGTGCTGCAGGTGGTGCTGGTGGTGCTGGTGGTGGTGGTGCTGCTGGTGCTGGTGGTGGTGGTGGGTGGTGCTGGTGGTGGTGCTGCTGCTGGTGGCTGTGCTGCTGCTGGTGGTGCTGGTGGTGGTGCGGTGGTGGTGGTGGTGGTGCTGGTGGTGGTGCAGGTGGTGCTGGTGCAGGGTGCTGGTGCTGGCTGCTGGTGGTGCTGGTGGTGGTGGTGGTGGTGGTGGTGGTGGTGGTGGTGGTGGTGGTGATGGTGGTGCTGGTGGTGCTGCAGGTGTTGGTGGTGGTGGCCGGTGGTGCTGGTGGTGGTGCTGCTGGTGCTGGTGGTGGGTGGTGGTGGTGGTGGTGCTGGTGGTGCTGTGCTGGTGGTGCTACGTGCTGGCTGTTGCTGTGCTGTGGTGGTGGTGGGCTGGTGATGCTGCTGCTGGTGCTGCTGGTGGTGGTGGTGGTGCTGCTGGTGCTGGTGGTGGTGGTGGTGGTGGTGGTGGTGGTGGTGGTGGTGCTGGTGGTGCTGGCTGGCGCTGGTGCTGGTGCTGCTGGTGGTGCTGCTGCTGTGCTGTGGTGGTGCTGGTGGTGCTGCTGGTGGTGGTGCTGGTGGTGGTGGTGGTGGTGGTGGTGGTGGTGCTGGTGGTGCTGGTGGTGGTGGGTGGTGCTGGTGGTGGTGGCGGTGGTGGTGGTGGCTGGTGGTGCTGGTGCTGCTGTGGTGCTGCTGGTGGTGGTGGTGCTGCTGGTGATGCTGGTGGTGGTGGTGCTGCTGCTGGTGGTGGTGGTGCGGCTGCTGGTTGGTGCTGGGTGGTGGTGCTGGTGGTGCTGGTGGTGGTGGTGGTGGTGGGTGGTGGTGGTGGTGCTGGTGGTGGTGCTGGTGGGTGGTGGTGCTGGTGGTGCTGGTGCTGGTGGGTGCTGGTGCTGGTGCTGGTGGTGATTCTGGTGGTGCTAGCTGGTGGTGGTAGGTGCTGGTGGCGTTGCTGCTGGTGCTGGTGATGGTGGTGGTGGTGCTGTTGCTGGTGGTGGTGTTGTTGTTGGTGGTGGTGGTGGTGGCTGGTGCTGCTGGTGCTGGTGCTGCTGGTGCTGGTGCTGCTGGTTGTGCTGGTGCTGTTGTTGTTGTTGGTGGTGCTGCTGGAGCTGTTGCTGGTGTTGTTGTTGTTGTTGTTGGTGGTGGTGGTGCTGGTGCGGGAGCTGGTGCTGGTGGTGGTGCTGGTGCACCTAACTCGTTTGTCTCTTGACAGATATTGGGAGACTACACAGATTATTGGTGTATTCTATAAGGTGGCGTTACATAACTAATATCTGGAGTTACTGCTGTAACAGCTTCATCTGTTATCTCTTGTACTAGTGTTACTGCTGAAAGAGCTCCATTTGTTATCTCTAGCACTGATGTAACTGATGTCACTTCTTTGTCTGTTATGTCTCATACCGGTGTTAATGATGTCACTAATATGTGTCTCTTATCTCTAATACCGGTGTTATTGCTTTAACAGCTCCATCTGTTACCTCTAATACCTGTGTTCCTGATGTCACTAATTTGTCTGTTACCTCTAGTACTGATGTTACTTATGTCACTAATTTGTCTGTTACCTGTAGTACTGTGTTACTGCTTTACTATTCTTTAGTACTAATGTAAGAGCCGTCAGTACTGCATCTGCCATCTCTAGTACTGCTGTTACTGCTCTCACTACAAGAGCTTTTACCACTATAACTAATATTGCTGCTGTAACTACTCCTTATCTCTTATTGCAACTCCTTACGAACTTAAAAGTGCAAACTGGTGAATATATTCATACGAAATCTTTCATGCATGTGTAAAATTCAATACGCAAGGAATGGTTCTTCCATTCTGGTTCATTTAATACCAAGAACAGGATCCAGAACAAGCGTAAGAAGTCAACAACATATAAATGACAAACAGTCAGTTCATTTTATTCAACTAAAACCATCATGTTTACAAACTATAAACATGGATCTTGTAAATCAGTGATGTAAAAATGCTTACGTCAGCTGTTAACGTTTCTTTGTATTTGACATTTACAATGCGTTTAGTTGAACCAATATTCCTACAGAGCATGTCTGGTATAAACGGCCACACAACCAACAACATATACTTGTGTCTTAATCACATCCTGAGAAGGAACAAAGCATCAGCAGCATTTCCACCAGTAATTACAAATTACTGAATGACTTTCCGGGATAAAATGTTCCTGTCCTATTGATGAAATAAGGCTCCATGGCAAATAATGGTTCAACCCACGTGACCTTGAGACAAAACAGCCCGTGTGAACAGTGTCAAAAACAGCTGCTAATGGTAACAACTCCGGCGCGAGCAGACGACCAGAGAAGCTAGTTACCAGCTTGTGGCGTTCTACACCGCCGCGCTCTCATTAGCCCTGTGTGGGGGGATCGATACGTGGCTTCGTTGAAACTCGCCATGTCCTACCCGGGCCTCTGTTCAGCTTGGGAATATCTAAATGGCCAAAATCTTGTGCCGGAAAGAGGTCCTTCTGCCCTCTTGACCTCTGGAGCTGGGCGGAAGTCCCGCGACCGCCATGACTTGAAAAGCGATTACACTTCTTTATGTTGGTAATGGTGCGATATAATGAGTATAGAGTTCAAACAGGGCTCATCTTCAGAGCTCCGTACACCTGATACGTGTAGGGACAATGCAATGACATCACTTGTATTGGAAGCCGAGAGCACTGGACAAAGGGCCTGATCGTCCTAGAGTCTGGCGTTTTTTTCACCGAGGAACGTGATAGGGGTCCGTTACAATGGGCAAAGATTCCATCCTGAGGTCTCCTTTCTTTGAGATAGAATCCGTTAGGATAGAGTTACGGGTCAGGATTATCAGGACTGCTGATTAATATTTATGTTTTAATGTAACTTGACGGATGGAGTTTGTTCGTTAGCCTGGGGTTGTGTTTTAAGCACGATGGTAATAGATTTCTGTTGGTTGAAAGTGACAGTTGTCACTTTAAGCCACACGAACGAGATTTAAGATTGTCACCTCAGACTTTGTACCGTTGTAGGTATACACAGACAAATTAAACGTGGAGAGTTTGCTTTGAACGTCAGCAAAATTAGGCTGCTGGATCATCTGTCGCCCCTCAAGTTGAAGACACTGGTTTGATTATCTTTATCGTAAATAATAATGGCGCGATTTTAATGGCTAATGAAATTCTGACAGGTGAAGTGCGTCTTTTGTCAGAACCGTAAAATACTCGCTTGAGGCTAATACTGACAGGTTTGGTCATTCAGGCGATCGTTTCGTTAAACTGCTCAAAAAACATAGAACCAATGAGACATCGTGGTGTAATCAGGTAGAGTGTATCGAAAATATTTCATTGAATTTCGCACTGAATGTGTAGATGATGATGATGATGATGATGATGATGATGATGATGATGATGATGATGATGATGATTTCACGATCTTGTTCTAACATAATAACATCTGAACAATTTTGGTTAAATGTAAAACTCAACATCATAAATATGCACGCATTTTTATCCGCAGAACTATGCATATAGCATGCACTGTACCTAGTAACAAAATGACTTTTCTTCATGTTAGGTAACTAGTTGAGCTAAGTCGCACCAAGAATGTAATCTAATATATCTTGAAATCAATCTAGAACGCTTTACTGTTCTCCCAACTGGTTTATTATCTACTTGAATCAAGCAATACTAGTGTACTCGAATAAAAAAGAGACCGTCTCTGTTTCAAGCAGAGCGCTGATTACAATGTCTAGACCTGGATTAAGCTGGCCTCTCAACTTCTTTAACCCCCTGGCAATGAGGTAATGGCTTGTAGGTTTTCCATACATCTGTTGGATATTCATGATTTCCAAATAAAAAGTAAAATGATAATATTTGTCAATAAATTGTAGACTATCTTCAGGATGTATATATTTCTTCAGTATTTAATATATTATAACTGATTTCGTGAACCTCCCTTTAATTTGTCTGAGACAACATGTTATCACAGAAACCAATTAAGCCATTGGCTGATAGCGTTACTTCCTTCTGCTAAAATTCAAATATCTGTGGATATAATATAGTATGTAACAAAAGTATGGATAGGTTAGTGATTTAGGATAAATTTATAAATAAAACCCGGACATGTCACCTGTGATGAGGGTTCGATTCCCGGTTCGGTCCGACCATGTTTGTAGTTGTGTCAGCACCGTACCTGGGGCGGTGGGGT